TTGTTTGTTTGTTTGTTTGTTTACACACAGAAACCGGATGTTTTCCTCTCTGTTTTTTAATAAACATATTGTTTGTTGCCAACTCGTTCTAACAGAGACGTGACGAAGCACCAGGTTTCAATAAAACTTGTGGACTTTGAGCTTGTGTCTGGAGGAGCTGTAAATATAAACTGCAGCTGCTCCTTCCTGCCCGGGGTCAGAGCAGGTCACCTACCTGTCACCTGCACGCACGCTCAGGATTCATTACAAGCTTCAGCCCTGAGGTGTCCTGCAGCTTCACATGAATCATGGTGCAGTTTGTCTAACACGGTTTGCAAATAATCGAAACTCTGCAGAGATGAGCTCCATTTTAGAGAATTGATCTGAACACTGAGCTGTGGCCTGCTGTTCGTAAAGTTACACAGTCAAAAATTAACACCAATAATTTTGTTTTGTCATAGTTTATAAACTAAATATTTAACTTACAAATTAAACATTTAGTTAACAAACTAAATATTTAACTTGTGACTTAAATATTTAGGTTATAAACTATGACATTTATAAATATATGAATCATATGGTGAAAAACTGAAAAATAAATCTGTTCTTTTTTTCTCATAAAAGACTAAATAAAACAAATAAATTGGTGGTAATTTTTGACTGTGTAACTTTACAAATGACACCGCTTGTTTTGTTTATTTATCAGTAAAACAGATTGATTCTGTTGTTGAATTAAAATATTTAGGTTGTGATTTTCTGCCTCTACATGTAATTAAAGCTCTGAGCTGCAGGCGAGAGAAACAAAAGATAAAACTAAGTTATTAATAAGATTAAGGGAAATTCACAAACAGAACTTGGTAAGACTTTAAAAAAAATATAGACATTGTGACAATTAGATCAGTCACTCATTTTTCACAAGTTTTTATTTTGTACATCAAACATGTAGGAAAATAAATTTGTTTTAAAATTGATACAAAAATAAAGTCTATGCATCCACTGCAGCTCCAGCCCCTCAGAGCACAAACTGAAACGTAAAGTTGACCATCAGGCTGTTCAGTAATTAAACACAATCATATTTAAAGTCAGGATACACAACAACACTGCAGAAACTCTCATCATAGCACATTGTAACACATGTCAGAGCTCTGCAGGAACTCCTTCCTGTAGTAGGTCTCCTCCACAGTGCAGGGGTACTGATAGTCTGTAGTACTGTAGTACTGTGAGTACTCAGAGAGACCCTCCTGCTGGCCCAGCCAGCAGCTGGCCACATAGTCCTGATGGGGGCTGCAGGTCTGGTACTGGGAAGTGTCTGAGCAGAGGCTGTGGTAGCTGGGCTCCATCCTGCTGGGGGAGCCGTAGCAGGAGGAGGAGGAGGAGGAGAAGGAGTCCTGAGGGGAGTAGCTGTTGGGATCCATGGGGTTGCTGAGTGTCAGAGACTCAGATGAGGAGCAGGCGGCCTGGAACAGACACACACAGAGTAGGGTTTGGATCCAGAGGAGGGGTCCACAGACCTCTGGTGTAAAACAAGACAGACTGACTGCAGCTGGTGACCGTGTTTCTGACGTCAGTTTGTCAGTTTGCTTTTCATCGTGTCCACAAACTGAACCGTCTAATAAAGTGAAGAGCTACAATATGTTTTAGTGTGTTTATTGATTGATTTATTTTATTTTTCATGTGCTCATTTTAAAGGAATACTATTTATT